CTTGTTAAAATAAGCTGGGACCTGACTCAACACCAGTGAAGTTTTGATTAAAGTGAGCAAACAGAGACCAGTGGTCTTAAAGTTCAGAGAGCAGGAAGATGCTTTCATTGAATAAACTAATGTTACCTGTTAAAGAAACAAGTAGGGAAAAAACAGGCCCAGCTGAAGTTTGAACAGATAATAAAGATGAGTGACTTCACTGAAATATTAGAACACCCGTAACCCACCCTATCCCACTGTCACATCAGCCCTCTGCATGGCCTCCTCCACTACATCCATGAACCTTCACTGATGTCTTCCTTCACCCTCCCCTCCTTCCTGGCAGCTCCACATTCATCTTTTGTTCAGTATATACCCTACTTGCCTACTGGTGTTGGCCAGAGGGGCCGATGGCGTGATATGGCAGCCTCGCTTCTGTCAGTCTGCCCCAGGGCAGCTGTGGCTACAACTGTAGCTGCCTCCACCAGTGTATGAATGTGAGAATGAGTGAATAGTGGTATTGTAAAGCGCTTTGGGTGCCTAGAAAAGCGCTATATAAATCCAATCCATTATTATTATTTATTATTACCCGTCCCCTGCACATCTGCCAAACATCTCAGCCTTGTGACTCCAAACCACACAACCGGAGCTGTCCCTCTAATCTTTTTCTAATTTCTAATCTGACCAAAAACAACAACAACAAAACAAAACATAAAACATACAAACATTAAGCCAAAACTAAAGCCGGCTGTAAACAGGACACAGTCTGATGTGTTCCTGCTACTTTACTGACTTTAAAGTGCTCAAAGTTCTCTCCCATTGACTGCATAGTTAATATCTCATAAGTAACTATGTAGTCAGACAGGTGTGTCTGTCATTGTTCTGACAGTCCTATGAATCATGTAATGAGTTTCTAAGTGCTGGAGTCACAGAAACACAGACTGTTGACATGTCTCGCTGTCTCTGCTTGCAGCTGTGTTTTCATCCCGTCTCCTAGCCTCTCATCTGCTTCTGGTCTGTCTGCCTCAGCAGGCCTCACATCAAAGAAGTCAAGCACTGCGTCCTGTGACAGATCAGGAGGGAGGTGACGAGGTGGAGCAAGCTGACACTGATACCCGGTCATATAGCATCCAGACAGACAGACGGGCAGCAGTGGAGAAAACAAATGACCAGCTCCCCTTTGAACTCCTAACAATACCAATCAGCCAGCTACAGTTTTTCTGTTGTTGTTGTTGTTGTTGTAATTTCCCCAAAAGATTTTTTCTCAAAACCTCTTCACAAAAACAACACACACAGTTTTAATCTCAGGATTGATGGTGCGTCGGAGAAATATTAATGTAATAAATACAAAACACTGTATGTTTTGACTTTATGGGGTCATGTTACATATTTAAATGCATACAACTGTTCTGTACTTAAACATTTATAGTTCTACATGTGTACACAATAACAAATATTATTTATTTTGCTTCATATGTAGCAAAACTAAACAAATTTACACTGCAGAGAAAATCAGCGCACAGATACATGTAACAAAAGAAATATATGTAACTGTAAAACAGTGTTTAGCTGAACTGACAATAAATAAATGCACCTCAATCTGGCGTTTCTGTTCTGACATATGACTGGATTGTTCTTTGAACTAAGTTTGAAATGATGTAATGAGCTTCATGTTCTCAGAACCATGTGCATAGTCCCATTTTTTTGTGAGTACTATAACATTTTTTCCCATTAATGATTTTTTAATTTTTACACTGCACCTTCACAGGGTGTCTCCTCCCTCTTGCCTTGTGGCAGCCTAGATAGACTCCAGCTCTCTCTTGGCCACACATTTTTCAGCTTCAAAAATTTAATGTCTGATGATTAAGGAACAAAAAGTAAATCTTTATAATATAGTAAATTACTCTTTGGACAATGATACTCTTTGAAGTTGAAGGCCATAGATGGAGCTTTAACAGTGATTAGTTTTTAAATGATGTGATCAGGCTCATAAAGAGTTGATCCTGTGCTTTTAATGTAAAATAACATGCACATTTAAAGTCCTTAAAAAAACAAACCTGACTATATAATCAACCATTAAACAATAATCAGACTTACTCAGACCTCTATAAGCAAGAAGCACTTGGGATATGAAAGTAAAAGTGCTTAATGCAGGGAGGTAGTTCCAATTGATCTCTATATTACTGCAAATTAAATAATCAATGTGAATTAATCAGACTGACCAATTTTACTATTGTTTGACACTAGAACCAATTGTTTGTTAACCTTTGTATAATATGGGTTTTGGTTCTTTTTTTTAAATGAGTAAAACTTCAAGAATGTAAGGGAGGTTATGGCAGAGTGCGACCATGACAGCTTTAACAGGTATTTACATTATCGCGTGTGCAAATTTAAGACGACATTTTTAATTATAACCATTATTATTAATCCGAATATGAAAACTACGATACATATAAAGGATTAAAAAACACAGTATCACTTAAAAAAAGTAATGTAGAAGTATTTGAGTACATGGAACACCGGCATTACTTTACAGCACTGCAAAATACAACAGTACATTATACTGTTGCAGTAGTGTCGGAAGAATTACTCACATTATTCAGATAAGTAAAAGTGCACATGGAAATCGTTTTACTACTAATAAAAGTCCTCCATTCGAATACCTTTACACGACCACAGTCATTACAGAGAAGTTAAAGAGTTAAAGTGAAGGCATATTCGTGCTTGTTAGCGCCACTGACAGCACCATTACCCGAGTATGACTTTATTGGGTTTGAAAAGCCTCCAGAAGATATTAACAGGCTTTAAGGTGTTAGTTCTCTTTTGTTTCATGTTGGGTGTGTTGGTATCAAAGCATTGAGAGCCTTTGAAGTGTTCCAGTTTCAGTAGGTAATGAACTATTAGCACGGCTCTCCCCTCCACTGCGCGCACAGACGGAGGGTCAGCTTGAGCGCACAGCCTCGAATCCATTCTGTGATCACCACCAGAGCTCACTGTCATTATCTTATCAATGGGAGTGCTACGTTATCGACTAAAACCTCTAAACAACACAAAATACTTAACATTTACACATAAAACATCCCCCCGCCCCCAACACACACCTCTTCCTCTCAGTCAGTCTCGGGGTCTATCAGGGCGGCGGGGCTGATGTTAACAGCCACTTCACAGCTGGGATCATAATTTTCAACTCATTATCAGCCACCTTAACTGATCCCCACATAGTTTGATGTGATTTAAGGAGGTACAAAAGAGATGACCAACCAGTTTCTATCAGCAGGGGTGGAAAGTTACACTCTGCGTATCTGCATATTATGCTTTGTCAAATACGTGCATTTCCTCAAATATTTGCAAGTATTTTCTTGTTTGGTGACTTTACGAGACATTTCAGTGGGATATATCCCCAACTTTTAGCTACTCTCTTTTTATATGAGAGCTTATTTTTCACTCATCATTTGACAGTTGAAAGAGCGAATATTTTTAAATTAAACTTTTAAAATGGTCTAAAAACATTACAACATCAGTTCTTTATCAACTACAGATAAGTCATGATGAAATAAGCTATAAAAGGATCACTGTTAGTGCGCTGTGTGAACACTCTTTTATCTTGGGATCATCCCAGAAAAAGCCATTGTCCCCGTTTTCAGTCACTCACAGCTCATTGTCATGATTATTAACCTGAAACCCGAAAAGCTGCTTTTTAAACAAAGAAGTTAAATTGTTGGTGCTTCATCTGAAATTACTGGACACGATGAGCAGTTTAGCATACAACCTTTGAGGAGATTAAAGGCCATGAACGTTTCTTCGAAAAGAAAGAAAGAAAGAAAGAAAGAAAGAAAGAAAGAAAGAAAGAAAGAAAGAAAGAAAGAAAGAAGCAAAGATTACAAAATTATCAGCAAAAACGGGATATTAATAATGCTCAAATATTTTGTTACATTTGGCAATTGTATTCTTCTTGTTTTTATTCAGCTTTGATCCAATTTTCTTGTTTTTTTGTTCTTTTATCTTATGATAAGTTGTTAGGCAGTAATTTCTTTCACTACGTTTATATGTGTAAGGAAGGTGCTCTGCAAATGGTAAATGCAGGAATGGGTAATATTTGGAGATACAAGCATATGTATACAATTGTTTGAATTTTAATCCAGCCTACATCCTTTATTTTTAGACTGAGATTGGCTGAGACAGACTGTTTTACACAATAAATCAAGATATTCAGAAAGCAGAAAATCCTTCAATTGTTACACTGCACACCATTGCCAAATGTGTCAAATTTACAGCTGCTAAATCTTTGGATTTGCCTTGTTGCAAAAATATTGTTTTATGTCTGTCAAATTATGTTGTTTTGGGAATTCAGCTAAAGAAATGGGAACAAATGGTGTATTTTTGTGACAAGCTGCCAGTAACAAAGTGCCTAAAGACAAAGTTGTCTATTGCAAAGTTGTCTTTTATATGTAGACAGAACACTGGTTCATCCCTTGAAGTAGGTGTCTTTTTAATGTTTAAAAGCCTTCAGAAAGCCTAGGTAATCTTTGATCAAGACCACTGTAAAGATTTACAACAATATCTTGCTTCTTGGGGAAAAATATAAAGAAATGAGGGCTGACACTAGTATTTTAAAGTTCTTCACTCACCCCAAGTGGAAAAAAACGACTCCCTAAAAAACTGCAGAAGGTTAATTTTTTAATAGGGTGGATATGGTTGTGGAAGAGATGGAGACAGTTTGGGGCGAAGTGACTGTATTATCTATGTGAAGAGTGGGAAAGAGGGTGGGTAGGGGGTCCTTTCCAGACTCACTGGAGCCTTGTTGTAACAGCCTCATTGAGACTGAATGGGACGTCTTAATTACTCAAGTTGTGAAAACTAAAGGAGGGCTGGACTGCAGGGAGGGGAGGATGTGTGCTTTGATCTTCGGGTTGAGGGAGGTTGATATGAGGTGGGATGTCTTCTATAAATACAAGCAGGTTGTAGATGAGGTAGTCATAATTCTCCAAGCTTCAGGACAAACGGATTCCTCCTCAGCAGCCATGAATGGACATTTTTCTATTGAGTGGATGGCCCAGAGCAGCCAGCAAGAAGGATCAGAGACCAGCACCATAACTGTCTCCGGACCTACAGCCTGTGGGACGCTTTCTGAGAGTCTGCCTGGTTTTTATTGCAGGCAGAAGTCAGAGAATATCCCTAAGCAGAAAAAGCAAGAAAACAGGAGTCAGGCCCTTGAAGCATACAGCCAGAGTATTCTCCAGCAACAAACCGCTCCCAATAGCCAAGGTAAGAGTTCATAATGAGCCAAAATCCCAGACTCCAATTTCAATGTAAAGTCTATTTAAAAGTGAATTACAGAAAAAAGTGCATTTACATTAAAACAGCTATTAGTTCTGTGTAAATGTGCATTTTGAATTTTTTTCCTAAACATAACTTCACATTTAACTACATTTCAGCTGAATGCAAATATGAACATCTCAGAGAACATCGATCATTTTTTAAAATATTTTTCTTAATTTTAATTTTTTACGTTTTCATTGCATATTAGCGCTCCTGGGTACACAGTTACTTTAGTTGTCTTAATTATTTGATCTTTTTTTTTTTTTTTTAAAATCTTATTTACTTTAGTAGAAAAAAACCATTTATGCAGCTTTATTGTTATTAGAGTACTTTTTACCTAACTAATATTCGTGTATTAATTAGAAGAATATAAGTTGATAAATGTATCAGTGATGCAATGCAGATGTGTTTCGTAACCTATAAATAAACTGCAATAAAAACTTGGACATTTTTATAGCTGAATTTCCATCCAGTTAACAGTATGTGGTTAAATACTCTGAAATTAATAAAGTGCTTTGTAAACTACTCAAGTAAAATACCAGAATATGTCTAAATCGACGTAATGAGAAGAACAGATTTTAAGTTTCTTTCTTTCTCACTTTCTGTTTCCAGTGACTGAGGTTGGTTTCAGCAGTGGGACAGAGGAGGAGACCTCAGGATATGAGAGCGAAGGTGGACAGTCTCTCTCCCCTTCAGCTCAAGCCATCTCAAAATCACCTCCATCTCCTCTAGTGGGTCGGAGGCCCCGGACAGCTTTCACAGCAGAGCAGATCAGTAGCCTGGAGAAGGCTTTCAGCATAAGTGCTTATCTGGGGACGCAATCTAAGGCAGAACTCCGCAAAAAACTCCACCTGTCTGATAAACAGGTAACCACCCCCAGTATCAATACTTGACATCATGAATTCATGAACCTGGTGCTGCTGGATATTCAATTTATGATAAATCTATAATAATCAGAAACAGCAGCAAATTTCAAAAAGAAACTGCCAAGAGATCAGCTCTCATGAGCACCTATATGATAGCAGCTACTGACCTTCAAAACCATGTACTACTTTTAGCAGTTAAAAAAATAATTAGTACTCTAAAATAATCATGCTCTACTGTTCACTAACAGAAAATTAACATTACTTATGTTTTATTTCATTATGTCTTGTATTTTAAAAATGTTTCTTATATCTTAAATTTTCTGTTTTCATCACAGATCAGAAACTGGTTCCAGAACAGACGGATGAAGGTAAAGAGAACCATGCAGGATGCTCTGGCTCAGGCATGCCAGGCTAATGTCTGCCAGGCCAGTGTTGCCCCACAGTTCATTCATTACCCTGAGCTACAGGCATACAGGCCAGGGCCATACCCAAGATACCACTCAGCAGCAGCAGTAGCACCTGAGGGCCCGGCTGCCACCTCCTACATCTATCCACGCAGTCATGTGCAGTTCAGTTCCCCTCTGCCCAGCGTCGCCACTCTGCCCATGGACTCTTTCTACCAGTACAGCAGCCTCTCAGGAGTCATGGTGCCCTCTGCCACATCTCACCTCAGAGAGTCCTACCCAACTTATCCTCCATATTACTGAAAATCACATGCAGACATTCTTCTGTAATGTAATCTCAGCTGTGATATTTTGACTTAGACAAAGGGAGAAGTTTTTGATTTGATTTTTGAATAAAATAAAATGCGTTATTAGAAACATGGCAAAAATACTGCTTTGAAGCTTGAATCAACAATCAAACAGGGCAGTGTGCAATAACGTCTGTTTGTAATTCATGTATAGTTTGAATGTAATTAAATTTCATTTTTTAAATTTCTGTTGTTATGTCACTGTTGGATTTATGTCAGTGTAAATATTATTCAAATAAATAATAATGATTAGATTCTTATCAGATTATCTGATCTTTTTTTCTCATCTAACAGTCAAACATTTAATTCAGTTTAATTTTGTGTATACAAAGCCACTTCACACCAACCATTTCATTTTCATTCAGTTTTATTTAAATAGGATGGCATGCAGTGGCTAGATTAAAATAAAAGACTCAAAGCAGACCTAAGTAACGAGGAGGACTTTCATTATAAGCACCAACAGTGACCTTCGAGGCACTTTATATTGTAGGGTAACATCCTATAATATTAGAACTATTTGATGACCAACAGTGACTTGGGGACAATAGGAAAGACATCCTGGCTGTTTCTCCCTGGTTAATCTTTGAGGTTCTTTCCTATGGATCTCAGCTGATTATTAAGTGGTATCTATTTGTGTGCGTGTTCCCCCTATTTTTACCCTCTGCCTTAGAGGGAACATTCTCTGCTCTGTGGGTTAAGTTCCTGATAACTCCAGGTTTGTGTTTCATCGTGTAGTGGGAGTTAAAGAATAAGTACATGTCTTTTGTGAGTTTGTTTTGAATCGTATACAAAATGTATAGCAGGCAAGAGCAATATGTTAAGAGTTGTAAAATACTGAGCCCTTTGGATTTTTTGCTCTTTTTAAGTATTGATTTCTGAGCAGACCATGGCTAAAATAGTCCTAGCCTATAGCCTATAACTATTTTATAGCCTATAGATATTTTAAGAGAGGATTCAGGGTCACTTGATGGAGCCTTAACTATATGCTTTGGCAAAATTTAAAGACACCACCAGAATTCCTACCCAGACTGTCAGAGTAGGGCCACTCCTACTGTACCCAAAATGGCAGACCTCCCACCCGACTGAGATTACTGAAGCCCTCCTTCTTTTCCACAGAACTGGACTGTTTTGAGTTATTCATAAGAAAAACATTCTTTTCGCGTGCCTGACAGCACAATATTCCCTTGGATACCTTATGCTTTTGGATTTTTTTGCCAAAAGTATTGATTTCTGAGCATTGTGTTTAAGCAATTAGCTGACAGAAAGATAAGTTAATGTCTAGATGTGCTACGCTGCATGTTTATATAGCAGACAACAGCACATTATATGTCATTTATTTCTTGTTAAAGGACCTCAGACACCTATATAGAAACAAGATCAGATGCATTTATTTTCGCAAAGGGTTTAACATTCTAATGATGCTCCCTGGTGGCCGCATTTTTAAAAACCTATCGTCCTTGACATCTTGATTGCTATCTTGCTATAATCCTTTTCTGACAGGCTCCACTGGCACAACTGTTATTTTATAAGTAAAGATTGAGGTGACATAAAAACAAACAAACAAACAAACTATGGTTTACTTATTTCAAATGCTTAAGACTGCCACGACTTGGATGACTGAGACCCAGTTACAACAGGGATGTCAAACACATTTTACATAATGGGCCACATACAGCCAACTTTGATCGTGTCGTGAAATGATATGACAAATATGTAAGATTGCAGAAAAAGTTATGATAGTGCTTGCACAGGCCGTCCCGTGATTATAAAATATGAAGTTCATTTATTGAGAATTCACCAAAAAACAAACTGTTATTTACAACAACAAACATCAAACATCTCTTAATCAATAACTTTGGCAAAGTATGAATGGCAATGCGGTGAACAGTTTTTATCTATAGAAAACGCCGTAAAACTTACGAAAATACAGTTAAAAGTTTCAAAATCTTTGCATCCGTTACCATTTTCTAAAGCTTTCCAGTGGGGTGGATTAGAGTCTTTGTTTAGGATTTATACTGACATCTTCTGGCAGGTCCGGGAAATGCAATAACAATGGAGTAAATGAAACATTCAGACGTGACAAGCTGCTGTAGAGTAGAATTCACCATTATTATTTTCTTCTTATTCTCCATCTTCTCTCTGTTTTCTTTTCTTTTCACTCTCACCTCCCTCCTCTTAATTCTCCCCTTCATATTCTTTTCTCTTGTTCCCCAGCCTTCCGTTTATTCCTCTTCACCCCTTGTTTCTTCTTTCTTCCCCCCTTGTTTTCCAAAGTCATTCTTTGCTATTTTATTTTGTTGGTGTACATAAGTAAGAATGTGGATGTTGAACAGTTGTAATGAGGTATTGTTCATTTTATGTAAAATTGTGCACACAAAACATGTAATCTACTTATCAAGGGTAGTGTATTTTCACAGACTTGTGAAACAACATGAGATCCATCTCAACAAAGAACGATTATTATTATGTGGTGTACTGTACTAGTTTATCTAGCTATTTTTCACATATATAAATAGCTTGGAAATGTCCATTTCGAAATTTAACTAAAATGCAAAAGTATAATTGTGAAAAAAACAACAACCCAGATTTCATCATGTTCTAACCAAGACGATTTCACAATCGGGATTAAAAAAGTTTTACAAGACGTAAACGGAACTTCAGTCTGAACCAATAGCTAGAGAAAAATATTACAGGTGGGCACGGCTTACAATACCGGCGGACCAATAGGAATGCCGTAATCGTGTGAACTAGTGAAACAGGCAGTTAGCTGGACCAATCACAACGTCCCCCGAAGGGCACCCATGATGCACGGGAAGGAGGCCCGCGCTGGCTGAGTGCACGCAGAAAGCAGCTACGCAGGAGAGAGGGGCAGAAGCCGAATGGTGGAGCTGAAGATGGCGGATGGCGACAGCGGGAGTGAGCGCGGAGGTAGTAGCGGGGGAGGAGGTGGCTTCCAACACTTCCAGAGGGACCAGGAAACCCAAGAACTGGCGTCAAAGCGTCTGGACATCCAGAACAAGCGCTTCTATCTGGACGTCAAGCAGAACAACAAGGGCAGGTTCATTAAAATCGCCGAGGTCGGGGCTGGGGGCTCTAAAAGTCGCCTGACCCTCTCGCTGTCAGTTGCGGCGGAGTTCCGTGACTATCTCGGGGATTTCATCGAGCACTACGCCCAGCTGGGCCCTAGCAGTCCGGAGCAAATAGCACAAGCTACCGCGGGTGAAGACGGTGGGCCGAGGCGAGCTCTTAAGAGCGAGTTTCTTGTCCGGGAAAATCGCAAGTACTACCTGGACTTGAAAGAGAACCAGCGGGGGAGGTTCCTCCGGATACGGCAAACCGTAAACCGCGGACCTAGCTTTGGAGTGGGGGGCCCAGTGGGCGGCATGCTGGCCGGCCAGACCATAGCCCTTCCGGCACAGGGGTTAATAGAGTTTAGAGACGCCCTTGCTAAGCTCATAGATGATTACGGGGGAGACGACGAGGAGATGACCGGGGGCATGGCCGCCGGGGGCTACGGCGAGCTTCCCGAGGGCACCTCCATCATGGTGGACTCTAAACGGTTCTTTTTCGACGTTGGGTCCAACAAATACGGCGTGTTCCTGCGCGTGAGCGAGGTTAAGCCGAGCTACAGGAACTCTATCACCATCCCGTTCAAAGCCTGGAGCAAATTTGGAGGAGCTTTCTGCAGATATGCAGAGGAGATGAAGGAGATCCAGGAAAGGCAGAGGGATAAAATGTACGAGAAGAGAGACGAGTCCGAGGGGGACGATGTGGATGACGACTGAGAAAAGAAAAAGCTATCAGCCAAGTTACATGATGGCAGATCTACACTATAGGGTTATTTTGCGAAAAAACAAAAACAAAACAAAAAAGAAGCAGAAATGACAGATAAAGTGCATGACAAATCGTGCTGTAATAGCCTACTAAAGTATTGTGGAGTTTTAAAAAAAGAAGTACATGTGCAGGGAATTTTTGGTGTATTATCCTAAAGTTTGTTGGGCTTGAGGTTGAAGTGGTGGTTTGAATTTCTGAAAGTGAAAATGTATGAATGAGATGTATCTCATTGGCTGAAAAAAAAAAAAAGTGAGTTATGCTTTATCGTTGGAAAAAATAAGAGGAGCAAGTTGGTTTTTCATAACTAGAGGTGAAGCCATTGAATGCTTTCCTATGTGCAACATAGTTTCTATTTAAAGAGTGAAGACCTGTTCAAGATGTTTTTCCCTTCTTGGTCAAAGGAGAGAGCTAGCATCCATCCTGTTCCAGTCCAGGACTCTCCTCTGTGGGAAGTTTGCGGGATTTTTGCAAGTCAGACAGGAAAAGCTGAGAGCAATGCAGAGACAGAACTGCTGTCACTCTATGGATTTTATTTGTTAGATATGTCAGCAGCTGGAGAGCTGTCAAACAACCGCACAACTGCTGCTGCAGCATCTGCAGGCTGTTAATCGAAAAGATTACCCAAAATGTCCGGGGGGGGGGGGTTGTTACTAAGAGGATTATCTGTAAGCCCAAACAAAAAGGGCCTGGTGGACTAAATTAAATGCTTTGACTCCAGTAGTCAGTTACAGTGCAGAACAGCTGGGTTTTATGTTATACATATAATCTTAGCAAAGCGTACTTCTTATTGTTTTGAAGAAGATTCACTCTGTGAGGAAGGGTGGTGACTCTTCTCACACCAGAGCATCCTTGGTGTTTGAGAACAACCGCTTGGAACTGGGGAGCAGATGCCACCGGAGGAAACACAGATATGGTTTTATGGGACTTTTCAGACGATAATTTGCTAACAGGGGTCCAAATGTCTTGCAGTTGGAGGAGGAGTGCTGCATTACATGTAGCGACAAGTTTTCTCATCAGCCTCATGTTCAGAACTGGACAGCTGTCCTATTCAGCCACAGGCCATTCTCTGACAGCACCTTCCAACACATTATGAAGACCCTGGACAGAAACACATTGATGGATGTTTTCTTTTGTTTTTCCTTTTTTTGTTTCTTTTCCCCCCCACAAAAAGAGCTATATTGAAATGAGATTCAACTTGTAGGAAAGATATTACCAAACAAACCAGCAAAAGATATTTTCAGATACTTATTAAGGAAAACATATTTCAATCCTAAAAATAAAAAGTTAATTTCTTAAAAGAGAATTGTGACTCGATCTCAAGGTAATTTTTTCATGTTCTTAGAGTGAAAGTATAACACTTCATTTATTAAACAATTTGAAATGAAAGACTCGATGTTGTGACTATGTACTTGAAATCAGGTTATTCATTTTGCAGACTAATTGGGTGAATTGTTTATTTTCTTGGTTAAATATGTACAAGAACAGTCTGAGACTGCATACAACTTCCTGCAACATTTTACCTTTTCAAGTTATGTAAGTGTAGTTACTGTAGAATTATATAAAGATGTCCCAGACCAGCGTAAGAGTCCATGCGCAGCAGATGTCCATCTAGAGACCAGGCCACCAGGCTGTGACTACACTATGCAGTTTCTCTTCCAGTGCCACACCGGTCTACCCACTCAGCTAGTTCTGCTGGATATTTTTTGTATATGGCAGAAAATGCCCACTTTTGCCTTATGTCACAATGGTGAAGAATCTTTCCACAAATCCAGGTCTGATTCACCCCCCAAAATGAATCATTTTAATACTAGTAAAACATTAAATTTCCCCGTCTTTTTATTTAGTTATTTATAATTTTAAGTAATTCTAAATCAAATAAGATTTTGTTTTATTGTTTAGAAATTGCTTTATTATTTAGAATGCAATTTCTGGTCAATACTGTCAATATTCAAAATAATGAAAACGTGATTTAAAACAGAAAAATGCCAAAATAAAACCTTTTGTCTGATATATTGACCTTAAAGAGTATAATTCATTCCAGCAATATCACCTAATGCAGATGTGATATTGCTAGTGATTTATCAGTCCAGCAAGATACAGTTTGCATTCATTTAAGAGGTTCATGTGACTATTAAAGTGATGACACTTATTAGTTCTTTACTTATTAGGACTTAGTTCACATGTGCAGGTAATGTTTACTCTCATTATTTACTGGCATTTATTATATTATTATTAAACAGAAGTATCTATTTTAAAAAAGAAACAGCTCTGTAAATATCTGATTAATGTTCTGTCGATGAGTTTCACTTTTAAACTGTACTACTTGGCACCACTTTGAGCTTCATTTCATACATTTGGTTTGATTTGGCTAAAACCACATTTGACATTTAAGAGTACTTTTGAAATCCATATTTACTTTGGCGAACTTAAAACCTTTACTTCAGTCCCTTAAGTTACAAACTAACATACAACATGAACAATGTAATTATACAACTAGTTCCCATTTGCTATTTTACAGACATAAACCTTTGTAGGAGTTGGATGACCTACTACTCATTGGCATTTAGGTTTGATCACTGATGAATAATTCATCAAAAATATCTTCTGGTTCAAGCTGCTGATGTGACACTGTGGTTTCCTTTGTCATAAATGCAAAGGGTTAAAACATTTAGCACTTCTGACTGGTTAAAACACAGTCACTGAAGCTTTCTTTTTTAAACAAATCATATCAACTATTTTGTTCTTGGATGTTCAAAACTTAAACTTTGCTGCCTTTCAGACAAGAAAGAAAAGAGTTGTGAATACAGCCTTGGGAATCCAACAAATCCAGGGAGAGAGCCAATGTTCCCTCTAATTTTTCATGTGTCTGAGCGAACACACAAACTCCCTGAGCAATCCCTTGGACCACTGTGAGCGACATCAGACGTGTGCACTGTGGTGATGCCAGCATCGAATCCATCCAAGTTAAATGGTTTATTAAAATCAAATCAAATCACAGCAGTTACATTTATGTTAGAATACCTTTATTTAACTACTTTAGCCCACGTACAATGAAAATGTAAAAAAAAATCTAGTCATTGACATGTTAAGACTATTGGAAGTAAAAATAACTTGAACTCCAATTTCAAAAACACAACTTTCTTTCTTTTTT